TCCCCTCGCTCCCTTCTATCGCCGATTCACCACCCCCCAAATAAAAATGACTCCCATCCATCCACCCGCACCCCCACATATCTATGTATATAATATATAGATCCATAAAACGACGTCAGCTCATGAAAGTTATGGCCGGGGAGGGATGGGTTTAACGACGGAGGCTCTGCTTTAATATTTCCCGTCCTCGCAACCCCAAGTGAAATTTCCACTTCCATTTACAAAATAAGCTGGGAAATTGTCGGGCATTTGTTAACAACACGAGAAACAAAAAGCTTTTTTCTTTTTTTTTTTCTCTTTTTTTTTTTTGTTTTGCCACCCATTTGAAACAGGGGCATCGCAGCAAATGTCACCCCCACCTCCCCGGCAGATTAGCGAGGGGCTCGTTACTAAATCTCTGTCTAATAAAGGCAGAGTTGACTCTGGAGGAGCTGCTGGTTATAACGCTGGCTTTGGAAAATGGAAGGATTGTCACACTTAAAGACACAAATTTCCCCTGTAATATATTCGAATGGAAACCTCTGAATCCAATACTACATGGGCATATCTAATAAATTCACAATATTTCAGCCTCAACAGCCTACAACGGTTAGTTTTAAAGATTTATGTGGTAAAAAATTACTCGGTGATGAATATAGTTTATTCTGTGCAGTATTGGAGGGTATAAGGAATTAAACTACTGTCTTTAACAGTGAATTTATTATTACCTCTGTCAAAGCCAAAGTCTTTAACAGCATTTATTATAAATTTCAGTGAAAAATAAATGGTCAGAGTACGCCTTAAACCTTAAACCCCCCCAGTGGAACCACGTGCCAGCCCAGGAAAAGTTCACGGGCCAGGGGGCAACGTCTCAGCATCCCCCCGAGACCATCAGGGCTGGCATTGGGGTCCTGTGACCATGGGGAAGGGGCCACCATATGTCCCTGCCATGGCCACCACTGCCTTGTGGGGACTGGGGTCACCCACCGCGGAGGGCAGGATGGCACTCTCTGAGCCGGCGCAATGGTTGGTGTGGGGTGAAAGCAGCACGGTTGCGGCAAAATTCGGGATGCAGCATTGGGGATGTATGGGTGAGCCCCCATGGACGGGGTAAAATTTGGGATGCGGCATTGGGGATGTGTGGATGAACCCTTACGGATGGGGTAAAATTCAGGATGCAGCAATGGGGATGGACGGGTGAGTCCCCGTGGACGGGGCAAAATTCGGGATGCAGCATTGGGGACGTGCAGGTGCTGGGCATCATCGGCGCTGCCTCCCAGCGCTCGCCCACCCTTTTGTCCTCGCCTGCGATGGGTGTCCCCTCATTTATAAAAATTACCTGGGAGGAATGAGGCTGCCAGGGGCTTGTTCTGGACGATTGGTTCCCGCCGGGGGGGCGAGGGGGGCCGGCGGGGGGCCTTCCAGCTGACCCCGCCATCCCATCCCCATCCCTCCCAACTCGGGAGCCTCCCAGAGGGGTTATTAATGGGAGTCGAAGGCCGCCGAGCCCTGGGGAACCCATCTCAGCAGCCCACCCCACCGGAGAACCCCGGGGGGCTGAGCCCCCCACCCCACCCCGGGATGCAGCTGCACGCTGAGCCCCGACCGAGCTCGTTACACCGTCGCTCCATCACCCACGAGGTTCAGCGCATCTCTGGGTGGGGTGTGGGGGGGGTCCGTGGCCACCCCAGTGGCCTCTCCCCACGAGCGAGATGGCCCCAAATCCAGGCAAAATGCCACTAGATGTCACCACACGCCTTTCGCTCGGGGTCCGGGGTATGGGAATATGCCCCCCCCTTCCCTCTCCCCCTCCTCCGCTTTCATTGAAAGCAATTGAGAGAATTAACTTATCCGGTTTTATGGCCTGCTTGTCACATCCAACTAAGCCCACTTAAAATAGGAAGTCTCGCTGCATTCAAATAATTATCATAACGTACAAATCACTCCACCAGGGGACAAGGGACCGGTGCCGGGGAGAGGGATGCAATGCCAGGGTTGCGCTGGGATTACTGCTTCCCCCTCCCCAAATTCGTTTCCCCGTGTATTAGCCCGGCTGCGCTGCACTGAGTTGGGTAGCGGTGTTTTGGGGTCCCTGCAAAGCGGGGTGATGGGGGGGGTGGGGTGTGTAAGGGCTGTGCGGCTCAGCCATGACCCCCCTGGCCCCGTTATCCCTGCAGTGCCCAACAAAGCACTGGTGGCACTGGGGGTGCAACAAGGACCCTCCTGCCCAGGTCTGGGGGGGACGACATGAAAAACCCTTGAGAGTGGCATTCCCGGGGCTCCCAGTCAAAGCCCCCCAGCACTGGCACCCAGGAGAGGGGTCGGATCTGCCGGGACACCGCATCGAAGGGACCCCTCCAAGGAGGGATGCGGTGGGTGATGATGCTGCCCTTGCCCCGGGCAGGACCGGGCATCTCAGCCGCCACAGCATCCCCCAGCCGAATCTCCCCCCCTTCCCCGAGCTACCGATGTCCACTAACCCCCAAATCACTTTTCCCCGCTGTTGATGCTCGAAATGTCAGACAGGACCCGAGCAGCAGCCGGCGTGTGTTTCAAACACACCAGATGGATTTTTATATTAGCTACTATTTCATGTTCAGACAGAGCGACCGCACCGCGAAAACGGCAGGCTCGATGCTGCCGAGTTTGCTTCTGTGAGATTAATTCTGCGAAATTAATTGGGACAAGATTGAAAAGGAAATTAAAATGCAGCTGAGTGAACAGCCTTTTCAAACACCTTTCCCCCCCCTTCCCTTCGCTGCCTCCCTCCTTTCCCCCC